AGAAGGTATTACTTAACAGAACTGGAAACAAGAAACTGGAAGTTACGGAAATCATGAATCTAGGATCAGTATCACGAGTAATGTAACGATATACTCTCAGATGGTGTTACATAAGAGAGATCGGAATATCTGAATAAATTAACTAACTGCCTGCGAGCAAGGCGAGTAGGATGATGGATCCATTGCCCACAAATAGACGAGAGCCCCTGGCTAAACGGATACTGGACGCAAGACCTAACGGCAAGCAGTCGCCAAGAGGACCTCTAGCAAGATGGGAAGACCTGACATGCATGCATTTATCTCATCCAGGTTGAGCGCTTGTGTGCATCATCAGACGTTGTCTTTGATGCAACAGGATAAGAGCAATATATTAACTATTAGTACTACTACGAGGGTTTCAATATATTAAATGGCGTAGAACTCCTCCAGGATCGGATTTAACAGCGCCATTTACCGTGCCCTTACTTCTACTCGTTTAGGATGGGAGGAGAGGAGATGTTTAACCAGTCAAATAGGTTCCATGGTAGGTAATCAGATGTTGGAGGAATTTGTCTTATTTAGCGTGTTTAGGTGCACGAACATAACTTTGATGTTTATCCGATAGCGTAAAATAAGTGTCAACTTCTGAAATGTCGTTTGTAACGATTCTAGCTACCGAAATGATGCAGATGAATGTGGTACTGCAGCTGCTCCAACACCATGGAGATGGAACGTTTGTTTAAGTGCCCCTCCATGAAGCTAAAAGCAAGGCGATAAGCATTGCGTTGTTTGATCTGGTCTTGGAAGACTTATTCGTTATTTAATAATATTTGGTTTGGTTATAATAGATAGAGTATTGTGACTTGTATGATTGCGTATAAACTACCTACAAATAGGTGTCTTGATATAGATGGGGCTAGAGTATATAATTATTTAACAAGCTGGATATATTCACTTGTATGTAACTGTATTGTATGATAAAGATAAAATGTCTAGTTAATTTGCCATAGGGATATGCTTATACATTGGTCCCTCGTCTATCGCGGGGATCGATTCCAGAAACACCCGCGATAGGTGAAAATCAGCGAAGTAGCATATAGTTTACTACTGATAGTTTACTGTATATTTACGTTATATAGTTTTGAGATTCTATCGAATAATAGATAGTTTACATGAATCTATGATAAGGATAAAAGAATAATCTAAGAAAAAGGATAAAAGCTAAGAGTGAACGATGGTGGCCCGCCTTCTCATTACTCTTAAATGTCATAGTAGCACGAGTATAAAGGAGTAGAAAAGCAATAAAGGTATTGTTGAGTGTCGGCAAAAATGTTTTTAGTAGATGAAAGAACAAAAGAATAACCATACTAAACTTTCCTCATAAAAATTTTTTGAATACTGCTGTCTGAATCAGCTCATAATATCTTTTTCTTACGGAATAACTTTTACCTAAAAGACTACGTATAGAGAAGGAAAATTAAATAAAGTAGTTTGAAACGGTATAAACCCTCCCCATGTTTTTATTTACCTTTTCCAAATTTTTATGAGCACTTTCTATGCTCTTAAACACTTTCTACGCTCTTAAACCTACGTAACTTTAACAACATAAAATTCTTTGTGGGCATTCTTCAATGAAGATACTACAATTAGAAAAATAAAGATGATGAGTTGCGCAGTACTGATAACGATAAAGATGACGCTGAAATAAATGTACTGTATGTCAAGAAGAACAATACAGCGCTTCGGGAGGTGCATCTTCATCAGGTGGTGCAGTGTCTTCGCCCTCCTCCATAGCTTCTGTTTTCTTTAAAGATGTAGATGTAACTGGTGCTTTCTTCCGAGTAAAAAATATAGTTATGGGAAGTTGCTGGCGCTGTTTTTTCTGGACGCTAAGGTTTTTATAAACCGATGCCACCCTCCATTATATTTAAAAACTGCAACGGACCAAGAATCTGGGGGTCCCATCCTTGAGCCAGTCGCTGGATATTTGGTCATTCTAATCATGGCTGCGAGGTCAGCCTCCTCTTCTTCAACCCCTAGTTCCTCTTCCTCGCTTGCTGGCTGTCGTCTCCGTCATTTTTTTAGGCTAGATGCATATTTTACCGCAAAAGTAATTAAAATCATAAATATATGAAAATACCTATATTCCGCAAATCCCGAGATATAGCGAAATATCCGCGATACAAAGTTGGATATGTACAATTTAAGAACGCGATATGACGAGGGATGACTATATATAGTCTATATGTATAAGAAACTGTATACAAATATTTACTTTATCAGTGTAGCATAGTAAATTGTTTAAATATAAGCTTGATATATTTTTATATGTATAGTGTGCGTGAAGTACAGTTTTTTAGCGCCTTCGTGATGTTAGGATTATGCAGACCGGAGCTGTTACGTCAACTCGTAACTTTTTTCTTCCTATTACGTCTAAATCTCAGGATTGTATATTATATATGGTTATATGCATAGTTTGTTGACTCTGTAGTGCCATATATACATATTTACGTTTCAGATGTCAAAGACGACGAACGGGAGACACTGCCCCGATAAGCACTTGTTTTCGGACGTCGAGAGTAACGCCAACATGCACCTGATCAATGGAAGACAGGAATCGGTCAGCACATGTCTTAGCGATTCCACCAATTGCACTTTATTTGCATCATTCCGATGTTCGTTTGAAACTCTTGTTTAGCTCTTATTCAGACAGGAACATTTACCATGTATTTCCTTTGTTTCTTTTTTGTTTCGGTTTTCAGTTGTTTTTATAAACCACAGTTATTACGATTACAACGAAGGTTTGGTATCGGTTGCACGAAGTTTCATATTTCTCCCTTCGTGGTAAAGAGATAACTAAATTGTCATCTTTGCCATGCTTCACTGTTTCTTTTAATGCTACTGGGAGTTATTTCTTGCAATTTAATTTTCCATTTTTACATAAAAAATGAGTTCTTACGCCAGAATTTATTATTGGTAAATGGCACTCGGCTCGTCCAGAACCAAGTTTTAGTACTTCAATCTTTTAGATACCGGAGAGAGCTGTACGATGTTTGAACAATGATACGCAAAATGACGGTTAATGAAAGGACCACGTAAGACATTACACTCTACTCCTTCGAGTACAGTGACGTCAGCAGATGCGGAGATTAAGAAAAAGATTTTGACCCCGCTAGACAAACTCCAACCTGTCAGATTTTCGTGTGGGATTCGAAGCACTATAGCGGTCGACCAGAAGGCCCGTACGCAACGTTGTGAAGTACAGTCAGATCTGCTTTCGAAGAGTAACCGTCCGTTTTGCGACGCAGAAATTGGTGTCTTATAACAAAACAAGTGTTGAAAAGCTGCGAATCTAGCGTGGATATAAAATAAAAACATTCTGCAAATGAAAACGCTGCAAGATGATGATTTCAACAATTACAAGCAAATGAGTCTATTACCGTCCATCCAATTCTAGCTTTCATCGAGAGAACAAAAGTGGTTTACATAAATCAGCAAATGTTATTTGACTAATGATCTGCGGCACTGCAAGAGCTGAATGGCAACACGTAGTGACTGAATATCACAACGCAAAATCAAGCGCTTCGAACTTTGTTTTAAATCAAAGTAACGAGTAATTATTCAGTTTTATCCCAAACCAACTTTTGTGCATATGTGTATGTATATATCTTTATCGTCGTCATTCTTTGAAGAAAGGTCACAAGTATATTAACTTTTCGTCCTCTTGATTAAAAAAGATCTGACTTTTTTGTAGTATTAAACCGTATGTATGTATCGCAGAATAACAGACAAATAGTTTCGATGAACATTAAATGAGAACATTTATGACAACTAATGACGTGTCGTCTGTAACTGCAAGAAGCACGATGAGCGACTGAGTCTGAAATCGCCGAGAAAAACAAAGAGGAGAACTATGG